TATATATATATATATATATATATATATTAGGGATGTAACGGTATCAGAATTTCACGGTACGGTAATACCTCGGTATGAATGTCACGGTACGATATTTATTGAATCATTTACAGGAAAAAAAAAAACTTTTGAAAATACTCCAAAAAAGTGCCAAAAGTGTCAATGACATACAAATTAGCCATCTATCTGTAAGCTTTGAAACAGGAACTTCAATTTTAATAACAAAAAATTATTAAACCATGTAAAAAAAATAAAGTTTCAATTTAGTATTGTTGAAAACTCATCACATTCAACATTTAATCACTCACTTAGATAGAGATGGGTTTAAAGGAAAATTATCATATAACTATAATCTGGTAAAAGCTGGTATCTCTGGGTATTTACAATGTCCCCTACAACAGAAAAAACCCCTCTCATTTGGGACTGAGGATTCTGGGACAGAGATATGACTTGGCCCATGTTGACAGCAGTGGGGTAACGTTGTGCATTGTCTTTCCCCCACTTGAGAGGACAAACCATGAGTGAGATAGAGATCTCTTTGCGGTACAAGTCAATGTCTGCATCAATCTGAACAGTGTGCTGTGTTTCTGCAGTCCCCATGACTGTTATTAGTCGTATTCCCCAACTTGCAGGCACGTGCACACATAGGGCTCAACCTGTGCAGTGTACATGCCCTTTTTAGTCTTGGATAGAAAATGCCCTTCCAAAACGATCAAAAGTGCCCCCGCGACGCGACACAACCTCAGTCCAGTCCAGCCCTTCAGTAGGCGCGCAATAACACCTCTCTTGAGTATGCGCGCTCAACCCCCCCTCGGCGCTTTACAATACGTGCGCCACAACACAGCTGATCAGAACGCGCGCGACAGCACCGCTATTCAGCACGCGCGCGGCGACAACACCCGCTTTAGGTTCGATCATTTCCATCTTTTTTTCATCTCCGCTACCAGCAGAACACTCCATTTCCGCATTACTGGATCTGTAGCGACAACAGACCGCAAAGGATTATGGCCACGCCGGGGCTGATGGGAAATGAAGTTTCAGCTACCTCCCGTTCGCTTCATTCGCCTGAGCAAATTTTCTCAGAAGACCTATAGTTTTACCGAGTCATGCGACTTCGGTAATATCGAAAAAATTTAATATTGCGGTATGACGGTATTTATAATACCGTTACATCCCTAATATATATATATATATATATATATATATTTAGTTACAACTAGAAATACACTTAAACCCTAATTTTAAACAATTAAATATATTTATGACTAATTTAAAGTATAATAGTAAAATATTAAACGAATATAAAAATTGTGAAAAAAAAAGTGTGCTTAATACTGTATTAAAAGTATTTTGGGAAAATGTACTTCTACTACAATACATTACTAATAGATTTTTAATAAAGTCAATTTAATGTAAACTTAAAATGACCACACTCAAAATCAATTTAAGTGTTAGTGATGATATTGCATTCACATTAAGTGTACTTTAGTGCAACTTTCGGGAAAATGTATTTCTACTACAATACATTACTAATATTTTTTTTATATATTAACTTATTTTAAACTTAAGATTAGTATGTAAACAGTGTACTAAAAATCAACTAATGTTTAAAGCATTTAAAGCACACTTTTGAAGAACACACTAATAAAACTCTTTTGGATGTTTTTTCTGTAGTGTACTTTATTGTAGTACACTAAAAATTTATTTAAGTATCACTGGTATCTAGTATACACTTTTGTCAAGTGTACTAAAGTCCTACTGAAGTATAAACATACTTTTAATTAGAATATTTATAGTGCAAAACCATCACACTTTTAACACAAAAAATACAAATGTACTAAAAATGCATTTGCGGGTATTTAAATGTATTTTAATTGCATTTATTTATTTTTCACCTGGGCCACCATGGTCACCACCCATCTTGAAAAGTTTGCCCCCTCACATTTACTAATGTGCCACAAACAGGACATTAATCACACCAAACATTCCCATTTTATTAAGGTGTATCAATACAAATGGCCCACCCTGTAGAAATAAATATTGCAAAAATAGCTTGAATGCATTTTCTTTTTTGTTACAAATGCCACAAAAATCACTCTGCACAACTAACTAAAATTTATTTTTGTAAAAACTGTAATCATTTTTTGTTATTAGGTATGGTTGTGTGGTGGCTGCCAGAGGTGGGAGTAAGTCACACATGTGCAAGTCACAAGCAAGTCTCAAGTCATAACCTTCAAGTCTCAAGCAAGTCAAGTCAATTTTTGTCAGACTCAAGTCAAATCAAGTCACTGCCTATTTCAAGTCACATCAAGTCAAGTTCTAGCTTGGTCTAGCAAGTCACTTTCAAGTCAATCCCGAATAGCAAATGAATCGTTCAAATGAATCTAATGAATCATTTAAAGCGGTTCGTCTTAATGAACCGAATGATCCAATCCAGCAAATTTAACTGATTATTTCAGACCAATCTGAGAACCGATGAGCTGTTAATACTGCACATGCATGACTTAGAACTTTCGGTTTTGTTTTGTTTTTAAATGCATAATATATAACAAACGGTTGTGTATTTAACAAAAACAAGTTTTTTTTCCGAGTCTTTTAACTCAAGTACAAGTCAGGTCTCGAGTCATGACAGTCAAGTCCAAGTCAAGTTGAGTCTTTTTTGGATATTTGTCAAGCAAGTCTCAAGTCCTAAATTTTGGAGAGCTCTCGCTCCTCCTCCTGTAAGCTGTTTTAATGCGTACACCAACCCCACCCCTAACCCTACCCCCAGTGACATCACTCGTAGAAGAAGTGCAAAAAAGGTGGAGCTCAAGCTCAAGCTCCCCCTCGCTGGAGCTCAGCTCGCCCAAATGGCTCTGCAGCGAGCACCACTTGAAATTTTGTGACTCAAGTCTGACTCGAATCAAGTCATGTGACTCGAGTCCCCCATCTCTAGTGGCTGCACTTTAAAATGAAATATAATCCTAATTGAAGTGATGAGAGATTTAGAAATTCTAACAGTAATCAGAGCTACTGTAAGGTCACACCTGCTTGGTACAAACGCTTACAATTGATTTAGTTGAAAATGTCCATAAGAGACCTAAAAGTAATCAAAAAGTAATCAGATGTAATCAGTTACTTTACTTCGATAAAGTAATTGAAAGGTACACTACTTATTACATTTTAAATAGGCTAATTTGTAATCTGTAATCTATTACATTTTCAAAGTAACCTCCGCAACACTAAACTAGCATACTAGCTCAACTGTAAAAAATGAAGAGTTCAGATGGAAATAAACCTCCAAGTGCCACAATTTCTTTAAAGTTAGCATAATTTAACTGAGGTAAAATTGTTGTTTTATTTGCTTTTAATGTTCATTATGAAACCGCATGTAAGAGTGACTTCAAAACAACATTAGCACTTTTTAATGAACAATGTTGTACTTGGATAGTCATTGGCCACTGATATGATTTAACATTTGGAATTTGTACTGAATTCTTTTCTGAAACGGGTGGCACAATTGCCTCACAGCAAGAAGGTCATTGGTTTGAGCCCCGGCTGGGCCAATTGGCATTTCTGTGTGGAGTTTGCATGTTCTCCCTGCGTTCGCGTAGGTTTCCTCCAGGTGCTCCGGTTTCCCCCACAGTCTAAACACATGCGCTATAGGTGAATTAAATGAATTAAACTGCCTGTGTTGGGTTGCAGCTAGAAGGGCATCCACTGCGTAAAACACATGCTGGATAAGTTGGCGGTTCATTCCGCTGTGGCGACCGCCAAATAAATAAGAGACTAAGCCAAAAAGAAAATGAATGAATGACTTTTCTGAAAGGATATGTTCAAACATTGAAATATTGAACAAAGTTCAAATGTGTGAATATAAAACCAACTTTACCCCAATCATTTAGTGATTAAAATTATTATAATTAGTGTAAAATCTCGGCCAACTGCATTTTTCTCAGTTTCCTGTTCTTTACGCAGGTCCAGTCATTCTTTAGCTACTTTTATGTCAAAGAATTTACAATTTATTCATTCATTTTCTTGTCGGCTTAGTCCCCTTATTAATCTGGGGTCGCCACAGCGGAATGAACCGCCAACTTATCCAGCAAGTTTTTACGCAGCGGATGCCCTTCCAGCCGCAACTGATCTCTGGGAAACATCCACACACACACTCATACACTATGGACAATTTAGCCTACCAAATTCACCTGTACCGCATGTCTTTGGAGTGTGGGGGAAACCGGAGCACCCGGAGGAAACCCACGCGAAGACAGGGAGAACATGCAAACTCCACACAGAAACGCCAACTGAGCCGAGATTCGAACCAGCGACCTTCTTGCTGTGAGCACTACCTACTGCGCCAATGCTGCGCCCGAATTTCAATTTATTTAAAGCTAAATAAAGTAATAAACAAATAAATCCAGAGACTAATGCTTATTTGAGAAGCAATTTTCAGGTGGCACTCTTCAAACGTTACCAGGCTGCACTGTATCATGAGCGCATGTAATAAAGCATGACCAGTAGCTAACAAAAACAGAAACAGAAAGCAGGACGTGATAAGCACATGTAGTCTTGTATTTAGTATGCTGTCTAGAGTCTGACTCCTCCCCGATGTCTTGCTGGTTGTCAACAATGAGGCTAAATGGAAACGAGGTTAAAGTTGAAGCGGCTGTTATCAGTTTTCTGTCAGACTTACTAGATCTGTTTTCGGCATCACGGCCACTTCGCCCTCTTCAATGTCCTTCTCGTTCATCATGAAGTTTCTACAATCCTGTTTGAGGTGAGATTGAGCTCACGGTGCTCTGCAACAGTGTTTCACTGCCACGGCAGACCTGAAGGAGGAAGTCCGGCCGCTGGAGACTTTCGGCGGTTCAGGTGTGAGTGATGAGCGGTGGGTGTGGCTCTCTGGCCCCATTCACACACCTACTATTAGGATGAGTTTCGTCGACCGCATCACTAGTGGACAAAGGAGTTACATTACCCACATAGAAATCTGATATAGCCCATGGCAAGATATCAATTTCGTATGTGTGAGCATAACATTTGTATTTTATGTAGTAATATATATATATATTTAATATTATGTTTTTATTTTCCAGAATAACCGACCACAGAATTATGGGATCAGAAAAATATCAATCTGTAAACATGTTTTGTACTTTAAATGAGGAAAATAAACATGTGTTATGGATGTGACCAAAAAAGTAGGCTAAGGGCTTACAGTATACATTCTTTGTAGAA